TGAGGCACAGATGACATTCAATGAAACACACATACTTAAAGGTCATAATTTGATAAATTTTGACATACGTATACAGTGGTGAAATCAAGATAATGAACACATCAATCACTCAAAAATGTTTCCTTGTTCCCCCTTGTAATCCTTACCTCCTAGCCCTCCCAATACCCCACTCCTCTTTCCAAGTCCACCACTGCTCTGCTATCTAGTTAAGCACAATATTTGATAAAAGAAAATTAAAAAAAAATAGTAGTACACAAAAGTGATAGGAAATAGTACTTGCTACAAATATGAATATTGCCCCTATTATTTTTCATATAACTGTATACAAATTATGAGATAAACACACTTTCAGAAAGTATAGCTATGGAAAGTTGTAGTCTTATACTACCTGACTCCAGGAATTACTACATAGCTGCGTAATCAAGACAGTGTAATATTGGTCAAATATAGGCCTATAGTTCAATGGAATAGAATAGAGACTCTCATAATAGAACTGTACATATAAGATCAATAAATTTTCAAAAAACTAGTGAGACAAAACAGAGAGACAGTGAAATACTTTTAAAGCAAATAACGATGGAAAGATTGGCCATCTCAATGGATTAAAAAAAGGAAATATCAATGATTACTCATGCCCATAAAAAAAAAAAAAAACCTGAGCTAAGACTACAAAATAGCCTGAAGAAAATTTTCATAAACTTGAAGTAGGCAGATTTCTTATAATACACACAAAAAATCATACACCATAGGAGAAAAAACATGCAACATTGAACTTTATAAAAACTTCAAGAACAATATTGGTCTTTGAAAGACATCATTAAGAAAGTGAAATACAAGCTACAGAATGGGGAAAAATGATATGTGTGTGTCATTTTTATATAATATATAATATTAAATAATAAAAGAAAATTCACAACCTATTAATAAGAAGATAACCTACTCAACTAAAAATGACAAAAACATTTGAGCAGAAAATATACAAATAACCAGTAGACATATAAAAAATGCTCAATGTGGTTAATCATTATTGAATTGGAAATTAAAATCTCAATGAGATACCACTATGCAACCATTAGAATAACTAACATTAAAAAATCTGATCATAACAAATGTTGAGGATGTGTTGGAACAGGACTCTCATAACTGCAGATAGGAATGCAAAATGGTGCAACCATTTTGAAAAACTTTCAAGGTTTTACAAAATACAACTACACACCTATTTTAGAGTCTGTATATTCCATTTATAAATATTTTAGAGAAATAAAACCTATGCCCAATAAAGACTCATATGCACGTGGTGATGATAAATTTATTCATAGTAGCCTAAAACTGGAAACAATTCAAATAAACATCAATAGATGCATGGATAAACAAATGAAGTACAGATTACAATGGAATGTTACTCAGCAATAAAAATGAATACTACACAGAAAACAACACATATGAACAAAAATCGTTTTACTAAATGCAAGAAAACAAACTCAAAACAACAAATAAATAAATGAATAAATAAATACTAGAAATAGAAAATCCCAGTAAATGAAAACTGAACTCCACTGACAGCAGGAAGATCAGTGTTTGCTTTAAGATGGGTATAGAGATAAGGATGCAATCCAGTGAAGAATGGGAAAACTTCTGAGGTTGATGGAAACGTTCTGTATCTTGGTTGCAGCAGTGGGGTGTATGGGTGCATAGATCTGTCAAATGGCATTGAATCATACACTTGAAATGATTGTGGCTTATTGTACGTAAATTATACATTAATAAAGTTGATCAAAGATACATAAAGATATGGGAGTTCTGCTTCTGGTTGGCCAAAGGATGCTCTTACAGGAAAGATGAGACACAGCTAAGAACTACAAAATCTAAATGAAATGCAAAAACACAAAGACCTACCTGAAGGCACTGGAGAAGGAAATAAAGCAGGCAGATTCTGCACTGATAGAGATTTCCATTTTATCTGTCTTTTAGCCAGAGAATAGCCCACAGTCATTGCTGTTTGCTATGGCCAAAACTTTGGTAGGAAATCTGCAATCCTTCTGTCCCAAAGAAGTAAGAGATGGAATTTGTGACTATCACAGTCACTAATAAATTGAAAAATAATAATATATATTATCTATATGATATTCAAATATATATAATAATATTACTTATATCATATTGTTATTTATATAATGAATATTATATATTTATTTATATAATAATAGATAGACAAAGATAGTGAACATCAAATCTCTGTATACACTCTGCCAAACATCTAGGTATCTGGCTAAATCCTGAAACATGTATTCACTTAGCAAATAACAAGCAAGTGAATCAAAACTACAAAAACTGAAACAAAATATCAGCTACAGCCCAATGTAATTTGAGTCCTGCTAAACAAAAAGAAACTACACTCCCTGGAAGAGTAAAACAGAATCCAGTATTTCCACGATATATCCATCACAATGTGGGTGATGCAATCCACATTTCTAGTCATATGAAGTAATATCCTCAAAAGAAAATTCAAATAACAGAGATTGATGATGAGAATTCTTAACAGAAAAGAATTTTAAAGCAGCTGTCTTAACTATGACTAGTGTGGTAAAGCATGATCATGATGAACAAAAGGATAGGAAATTTCTGCAGAGAAATAGAAACTATAAAGTTGAACTAATTGGAAATTTTCATACTAAAAATTAAAACATCTGAAATTACAAAAAAATACTGGACTAGTTGTGGTAGGCAGAATAATGCCATTTCCTCTCCTTGAAAGAAGTCTGAGTCTTAATACCCAGAACCGGTGAATATGTTACCTTACATGGCAAGAGAGACTTTGTAAATATGACATTTCTAACTCATTTTATAAAGCCAACATTACCCTGATACCAAAACCAGACAAGGACAACACAAAAAAAAGAAAATTACAGGCCAATATCACCGAAGAACATAGATGCAAAAGTCCTCAACCAAATATTAGCAAATCAAACACAACAACACATTAAAAGGATCATAGACCACGATCAAGTGGGATTTATTCCAGGGATGCAAGGATGGTTCAACATTTGCAAATCAATCAATGTGATACACCACATTAACAAAACGAAGTATAGAAATCACATGATCGTCTCAATACATGCAGAGAAAGCATTCATCAAGATTCAGTATCCATTTACGCTAAAAACTCTCAATAAGATTGGTATAGAAGGAAAGTACTTCAACAAAATAAAGGCCATATATGACAAACCCAGAGCAAATATCACACTCAAGAGTGAAAAACTGAAAGCTATCCCTCTAAGAAGAGGAACAATGACAATGATGCCCACTTTTGCCACTCTTATTCCACATAGTATTAGAAGTCCTAGCCAGAGCAATCACGCAAACAAACAAAAAAAAAAAAAAAAAAATTTACACTCTGCACAAGTGCTACATTTAATCCACAACTTGTTTTTCAGAATGCATTTTAAAAAAAAAAAAGGAAAGAAAAAGCATACGAATTGGAAAGGAAGAAGTAAAACTGTCACTATTTACAGATGACATGATTTTATATAGAGAGAACTCCAAAGCATCCACCAAAAAACGTCAGAAATAATAAACGAATACAGTAGAGTTGCTGGGTACGAAGCAACATACAAAAATCAACTGCATTTCTATACAGTAAAAACAAAATAGCAGAAAGAGAAAAAGAATACAATCCTATTTACCAGTGCAACAAAAAGAATAAAATACCTAGGAAAAAATTTAACCAAGGAGGTGAAAAACCTGTACACTGAAATTATAAAATATTTTTGAAAGAAATCATAAAGGAATGGAAAGGTATTCCGTGTTCATGGATTGGAAGAATTAACATAGTAAAAATGTCCCTACTACCCAAAGCAATCTACAGATTCAATGTAAGCCCTATCAAAGTCCCAACAACATTTTTCACAGAACTAGAACAAAGAATCCTAAAATTTATATGGAACAACAAAAGACCTTGAATTGCCAAAGCAATCCCCAGAAAAAAGAACAAAGCTAGAGGCATCACACTTTCTGATTTCAAAGTATACTAAAAAGCTGTAGTAATCAAAACAATATGGCATTGGCAGAAAAACAGGCACACATATCAATGGAACAGAATTGAGAGCCCAGAAATAAACCCACACATATTTGGACAGCTAATTTTTGACAAAGGAGCCATACATTAGAGAAAGGAAAGTCTCTTTAATAAACGGTGTTGGGAAAACTGGACACCACATGCAAAAGAATGAAAGTAGACCATTATCTTACACCATACACAAAAATTAACTCAAAATGGATTAAAGAGTTGAATGTAAAACCTGAAACCACAAAACTCCTAGAAGAAAACATAGACATTGGTCTTAGCAGTATCTTTTTGAATATGTCTCCTCAGGCAAGGGAAACAAAAGAAAAAATAAACAAATGGGACTACATCAAACTAAAAAGCTTCTGTATAGCAAAAGAAACCATCAACAAATGAAAAGACTACCTACCAACTGGGCGAAAATATTTACAAACCATATATCTGATAAGGGGTTAATATCCAAATATATAAAGATCTCATACAACTCAACAAAAAATACCAAACAACACAATTAAAAAATGGGCAGAGGACCTGAACAGACATTTTTCCAAAAGAAATATACAGATGGCCAACAGGCATATGAAAAGATGTTCAACGTCACTAATTATTAGGGAAATGCAAATCAAAACCAAAATGAGATATTACCTCATGCCCATCAGAATGGCTATAATTAAAAAGACAAGAAATAATAAGTGTTGGAGAGAATGTGAGGAAAAGAGAACTCTTGTACACGCTGGTGGGAATGTAAACTGGTGTGACCTCTATGGAAAACAGTATAGAAATTGCTCAAAAAATTAAAAATAGAACTACCATATGATGATGGAGCCATTCCACTTCTGGGTATTTATCCAAAGAACACAAAAATACTAATTCAAAAAGATACTACACACCCCTATGTTCACTGTAGCATTATTCACAATTGCCAAGACTTGGAAACAACCTAAGTGCCCATCAACAGATGAATGGATAAAGAAGATGTGGTATATAAATACAATGGAATACTACTCAGCCATAAAAAAGACAAAATTGTGCCATTTGCCACAACACAGATGGACTTTGAGGGTATTATGCTAAGTGAAATAAGTCAGATGGAGAAAGCCAAATACTGTATGATTTTACTCATATGTGGACAATAAAAAAACAACAAAAACAAACAAACACATAGATATGGCAAACAGATTGGTGGTTACCAGAGAGGAAGGGGGCGGAGGAAGGGTGAAAGGTGTAAAAGGATACAGGTATACTGTGACAGATGGCAACTAGACTTTTGGTGGTGAATACAATGTAGTCTATACAGAAGTCAAAATATAATGATGTACACCTGAAATTTATATTACCTCATAAACCAATGTTACCTCAATAAAAAAATTAATTAAAAAAGTTAAGGACCTTGAATTGAGGAAATTATACTGTATTATTGGGTAATCCTAATCTAATCACATGAGTCCGTAAAATCCAAGACTTTTTCTAAGCTTTTGTCAAAGAGAAAATTATAACAGAAATGGGGTTACAAAAATGTGAATTTTTTGCCTTTGAAGATAAAGAAATGGGCCAAGAACCAAGACATGTGGGTAATCTATAGAATCTGAAAAAGGTATAAGAACAGATTATCCTCTAGTTTCTCTTGAAAGGAACTCAACCCTGCTAACATCTTGATTTTAGCCCAGTGAGACCCATTTAACAGCAAATAGAGATGACAACAAATAGTGAACTTCAAGGTAATGTATTAGAAATTTCCACTAAGAAACACAGAGAGAAAAAGGATAGAAAACACATACAAAGCCTCAGGGACATGTTTATCAAATGGTCTAACATAAATGTAATTAGATCCCCAGAATGAGAGCAGAGAGAAAATGAATCCAAAAAATAAAATCTTTGAAGACAAAAATACCCTAAACTTCTCTAATTTGGTGAAAGACATAAATTTATATTTTAAGAAGCTCAGAGAACACTAAATAGAATAAATACAAAGAAAACCATACCTGAGCTCTTCAAAGTCATACTGCTGAACAGACAAAGGTAAAGAGAATATCTTGAAAACTACTGAAGGAAATGGCCTGTTATAAATAGGTGTAGATTATTCAAAATACCCTCTGAATTCTCATCAAAAACAATACAGGCCAGAAGACAATGGACCAACATATTTAAAATTCTGAAAGAGGAAATAAAATTTGTGACTTCAGAATTCTATATCTAATAAAACCAGCCTTCAAGAGTGAAGATTACATAAAAGCATTTTCAGATCAAAAGAAACACAGATAATTTGTTGCCAGCAAACATTAACTAGAAGAAAAGTTTGAGAAAGTTCTTCAAGTTAAATGAAATGAGGCAAGATAAAAACCTGATTCTTCAGGAAGGAATAAAAAGTAGCAAAAATCATAATCTGGGTAAATATACAAAATGAGAAAATAGTCAAAACCAGAGTAAAACAGATGCATCAGATTGGATAAAATTAAAAAGAGTGATCATTTCAATTAGGTGAAACCAGAGCAGGTTTTAGTTTAGGGTAAAGTTTGCCCACTACTGTGGTGATCACTTTATGAATACACAAAACACTCCCTGGGAATTACAAGGTTGATGGGAACATAAACTATTTCCTGTGAACACAATCCCTGTGTGAGCTCCAGGGACTGTTCATTCTACTCCTTTAGGGTGTTGTGGTAGGCAGAATAATGGTCTCAAAGGATGTCCATTTCTTAACCCCTAGAATTTGCGAATGTTACCCTCTGTGCCACAGGGGACTTAAAGTTGCAGATGGAATTAAGGTTGCTAATCAACTGACTTTAAAATGAAGAGGTTGTCCTTGATTATTCAGTTTGGCCAAATCTAGTCACATGAGCTCTTAAAGGCAGAAGAAAAATACTTTTAAAAAGAAAACAAACAAAACTTAAATGAAAACCAAAATAATCATCTTTGTAGGAGCAGAAATTGAAAATAATACAAGAGCACTCGGTTTAGAATCAAAAGAAGGCAGAGGTTTCCAGAAATGTGATGCTTGCAGACCATCACGGATTAAATATATTCCACTCAATGTGGAATAATAATTGACAAACATTATCTATGAAATGTGAAATTATATGTTCAGATAAAATATTACTCAAGAGAAAGAAAGAAATAAAATAGCGAAACACATGAAAACATAGAACATTTATCACCCAGAGACCTCTCAGTAAATATTTTTTAAGGAAATAATTGAACAACAAAATAAAGAGATCTCAGAAGGAGGAATTCAGAATTCAACAAAGCAATGATGAGTGCAAATATAAGGAAAGATGTTGGTAATATTAATGAAAGCAAGTATTAAGATAATATTTAAAAGTAGTGTTTAGGCCAACTATTAGCAAAAATGTGCCTTAAGGAAGTGGAAGTGATGCATGACCCTTCTGGTCAATATGTCCCCTGATTGCTTTCATTCCTACTGATAACCTTGGAGGCCAGGTATTCTGGATGGTGCAGTCACTAAGCAGGTGGCACACCTGAACGCCATCAGACTTGACCTAACCAACATCTAGGAGGATGAGAAGATGGCTGCCACTGAATAAAACTTCCAGTGAGAGGCAAGCACACAAAACAACAACATACAACAAAATTACTTGTTATAAATGTATAAATACATTTAAATAAAGTATACAAAATGGAAAATAAAGATCCAAAACAAACTCAGTATAGTGAATATTCATAAAGAATGGAGTGGGGGGACTCTGGGAGGATTAAAAGATGTGGCTTTATCTATAACTGTTATATTTAATTTCCTAAGAAAAGTCTGAAGCAAATAATGGCACATGCTAAAATTTGCTAAATCTGGCAATATATTCTGGTGAGTTATATGATTATCTTAAACCTCTGTGCTCATCTAATTTTAAAATATTTAATTATAAAAATAATAAAGAAGAAAACAAAGAATTAAAATGTGAGTGGAAAAGTACAGAGTAGCACAGTTCAGTACAGTGAAGGGACTATTACTATAGAAATTATTTTTCAACCCAACAAAGCACCATAGATAGAGAGGATGCCAGACTTCATCAGTTCAGACAGAGCAGAGGGCTTCTGCTTCCTCCTCTTCCTTTTGGCTACTCAAGTTGCTCACCAATTGTAATCCATAGATCAAACACCTATAATATGCAGAAAGCTGTTCTAATATTCAACAACATTTATTATCACTGAAGGCAGGACTGGCAACATAATTTGCATGGTTTAGTGCAAAATGAGAATATAGGACCCCGTTATTCAAAAATTAAAAATTTCAAGATAGCAAGAGCATAGTATTAAACCAAGTGCAGGATCCTTCTAAACACAAGACCCTGTGAGACTTCATGGGTCAGTCAAAAGCCCATGAAGTTAGCCCTAACTGAAAGCCTTTTCACATCTCACACTTATAACTCAGTTCATGCTTACGAAGCTTCTCTTATGTAAGCTACATGGACTCAGATCAACATTAAGGTGCTTTTCATCCACAATTTTTATTCTAGTAATCAAGGTGTAGTGGAAAGATTGGATGGGTATGTGGGGAGCAAGTTAAAATGAGGCTTATGGTACTTCCCTGGTAGATTAAATGGTCCTTTTCTCTACGCTTTTCCTTCAACATTCATCAAGTCCGCCTAAGTGCACTTTTCTAGATTTTGTGATTGCATCCATCTGAAGAGCTTTTATTCTTCTATTCTAACCAATTGCAACCAAACTGAAAATAAAAACAATGTTCAAATTGAACTTGAAATCAACAGGTCAATTTTAAGAAAGACTAGGACACAAGAGGGAAGGATAGCACGGTAAAAGATTATATGATTGCCGTGGTAATTTGAAAGTCAGAGGTCCTTTAGGTGATAACCTAAACTTATGAACTAAAGCATTTAAATTAACTATCCAATAGTCCCTGTGAATAAACGCAGTTGTGTAAATTTATGTTGAATGGAAGATTAAATGTTATGCTTTTATTTTAGCTATAAGTGACACATACAGATGGTCCCTGATTCATGATGGTTTGACTCACAATTTTTCGACTTTACGATGGTGTGAAAGCAATATGTATTCAGTAGAAACTCTACTTCAAATTTTGAATTTTGATCTTTTCCCAGCTAGCGATATGTGGTATGATATTCTCTGGTGATTCTGGACAGTGGCAGTGAACTACAACTCCCAGTCAGACACATGATCACGAGGGTAAACAACCAATACACTTACAACCATTCTGTACCATATAACCACTGTTTTTCACTTTCAGTACAGTATTCAATAAATTACATGAGATATTCAATACTTTATTATAAAATAGGCTTTCAGTTTGTTGATTTTGCCCAACTGCAGGCTAATGTAAGTGTTCTGAGCATGTTTAAGGTAGGCCAGGCTAAGCTATGATGTTCAGAAGGTTAGGTGTATTAAATGCATTTTCAACTTACAGTGGGTTTATCAAGATTAACCCCATCATAAGTCAAGGGAGATCCGTAATGGTGCACTACTACATGAAAAAGGTAAAGAATCCAAACAAAAAAAAATTAAATAATTAAAGATTTGAAACTTGGAATGTATTAAAAAAAGATTAAAGAAATAAGATGTTTTTCCAAGTAAAATGAAAAGAGGAATCATGGAGCAGATTCTTTTTGTCATATTACAAAATAAGATAAAGTCTATCTAGTTTCATTCCCATTGTGAGAAGCACAAAGGAAAACAGAACATTGTATTTGACTATACTCCCAAACTCCTAAGAAGCTTTAGGGATGGAAGAGAACTGCAAAGAAACCTGAATTCTCTTTAGTGTGCTTATTTATTTGTAGTGGTATGGTTAAAGCAATTCTAAAACTATTGTAGATGTGTTAAGGAACAAAGAAAATGAATAAGTACATTTCTGTTATTAGGAGCCAGGATTTGCACCATAGAAGAAGGGAAATACAAATAGGGAGTAGAGAAAGGCAAGAAAGAACACTGAATCTTCAGTTGCAATTGTAATTAGAATTGTCTTTGTAAAATAATTATTTCTGATATATATATATATATATCAGATATATACCAACATATATACATATATACACATCCTCATTGTTACATTTGTAGGCATGTATGTATATGTATATGAATAAAGGTATGTATATATGTATGTACAAGCATGTATTCTCTACTTATATCTGCTGAAAGGATCAAGAAGCAAAGAAACTTCAGTAGCAATGAACATGGCTATTGCCTGGAAGTTGGTCTTTGACATCATTCTCCATTAAAAAAACCCAGAGCTCCTTGGATAAATTGTTAATTTCAGGGCTGGGCAAGGTAGGTGTAAGATGAGTCTTGAATACCTTGTTTTGCTATAATTTAAGGAAGGGTTAAAAAAATAATAATAGGTTTATATCATAAAGTCATACAAGCCAGCTTGAAGGAGATCCCATGGTCCAATAATACACACACACATACATACATACATAAAGACATAAAAAAAATGTCTTGACTACATGAATAAAAAGAATAGGCCAAAGGAAAGCCTCTTGTTTATAGAATGCTGCTTGGTGGAAACTGGTAAGTGTAGAGGGAGTATTAGAACTGTAAGATCATCATTCTGCCAACATCTTAAAGATTGTCACCAATTAAAGACTGGTTCCAGTAAAATCACAAATGGATGCTAAATCTCAGGGGAAATTTTGACAATGAGTGAATATTGGCATGGTCTTCAAGTATATACTCAGAGATTGTTTCTTACTTGCAACATCAACAATAGTAGTGTACAGTGGAGAAATCAGACAATACTTTTGACTGAGTGATCAAAATTAGGAGCATCAATGAAGGCCAAATGGAAATTGTGTGCTTCCAGATATAATACCTGAGAAGAGCATAACATCAGCTATGTAGTACTCTCACTAGAAATGTGTACACTGAATCTACTTATGAGGAAATATTAACTGATCTCAAATGACAACTATTTTAGCAAAATTCAAAAAACTGTATTCCTTAAAAATATCAATGACATAAAGGATGTAGAAATTATTTAGATTTAAAAATATTAAAGAAACTTGACAACTAAATACAAAACCCAATTCTAGTTTGAATCCTGAACTGCAGGGGAAAATAATGAAATAAAGGACATTATGGGTTCAATCAACAAATTTGTAATAAGAACAATAGAGTAGATAAACATTTTATCTCAATTTTAAATTTACTGAAGTCAATAAATAATTATATTTTGTTTAAATATAATTACATCCTTATTCTCATGAAATATACATTGAAGTCATTAGGGATAAGACAATGATATATGCAAATTAGAGAGATAATTAGATAGATGAGAGATGAGAGGCAAAGGGAGAGATAGAGGGGGAGAGAGGGAGGGAGATAGGTAAATAGGGCAATGATAAAGCATATGTGATAAAATGTCGATAGATGAATCTGTGGCAAATGTATAAGTGTTTTTTGTTGCTATACTTAATGCTTGCAACTTTTCTCTCTGTTTTAATTTTCAAATAAAAAATTAAAATTTCAAAAAATATTCACTTCATTTTAATACTCTGTTCATGATATATACAATATCAATGACTTCTCAGAATTGCAGGCACTGCATGGAATATACTAAAGTATAATTTCACATAGTATCATGTACCATAGAATGTTCTGCATACAGAAGTCAGAGTGTTCTAGATATGTCTAAAAAGAGGACTGATAATATCTTGTCTAGAAAACTGAGAACAGAATCACCTATATACAGGGGGACTTTCATGACTTTTAGTCTTTTTCAATTCCTTGAATCTATATGATAGTCTTAAGAAATAAAATAATTTAGTAAATGGAGTAATACATCTTTGTAAGTGTACCTGAACTTAGTTATGTGAATCTGGACCTCTGATGAATGAAGTCAAAGAATAACTAAATAAATGAAGAGATAGTTTAAGTTCATGAATAGACTCAGTATTGTCAAGATGTCAGTTCTTTCCAACTTGATCAATAAATCCCATGCAATCCCAATCAAAATCCCAAGAGTTAGTTAGTGAATACTGCAAACTGACTCTAAAGTTCATATAGGGAGGTGAAAGAAGCAGAATAGCCAACACAACAGAAACTGACATTTCTTGACTTCAAGGCTTACTATAAAGCTATAGTAATCAAGACAGTGTGATATTGGCAAAATAATAGATAAATAGGTCAATAGAACAAAATAGAGAGCCCAGAAATAGACTGTCACAAATAAATGCAACTGTTCTTTGAAAAAGGGCAAAGGAAACACCATTGAGCAAACCTAGTCTTTTCAAAAATAGCGCTGGAACAACTGGACATTCACATGCAAAAAGTGAATTTAGACACAGATCTTACATCTTTCACAAAAATTAATTCAAAATGGATCACAGGCCTAAATATAAAATGGAAAACTATAAAACTCCTAGAAGAAAACAAGAGAGAAAACCTAGATGACCTTGGGTATGGTGATGGCTTTTTATGTAAAACACAAAAGGCGTGATCCATGCCAGAAAGAACTGATGAGCTGGACTTAATTAAAATTAAAAATTTCTTCTGTGAAAGACAAAGTTAAGAGAATGAGAAGACAAGCCACAGACTTGAAGAAAACATTTTCAAAAGGCATATCAGATAAAATATACAAAGAACTCTTAAAGCTCAACAATAAGAAAATAAACAACCCTAGGAAAAAATTGGCCAAACACCTTAACAGATACCTCTTCAAAGAAGATATACAGATGGCAAATAAGCATATGATAAGAAGCTCCATATCATATCTCATCAGCAAAATGCAAATTAAAACAACAATGAGATGCCACTACACACATACTACGATGACCAAGTTCTAGATCACTGACAACACCAAATGCTGGTAAGGATATGGAGTAACAGGAACTCTCATTCATTGTTCTTGGGAATGCATAATGGTAAAGCCACTTTGGAAAGCAATTTTGTGGTTTCTTGGAAAACTAAACATACTCTTACCATACGATTCAGTAATTGCACTCCTTGGTATTTACCCAAAGGAGCTGAAAACGTATCTCCATACAAAATCCTGCACACAATGTTTACAGCAGCTTTATTCGTAACTGCCAAAACTTGGAAGCAACCAAGATATTCTTCAGTAGGTGAATGGATAAACAAACAGTAGTACACCCAGACAAGGGAATATTATTCAGCACTAAAAAAAAAAAAAGAGCTACCAAGCCATGAAACTACATGGGGGAAACTTAAACACATTTATTACTAAATGATAGAAGCCAATCTGAAAAGACTACATACATATGATTCCAACTATATAAGATTCTGGAAATGGAAAAATTATGGAGATAGTAAAAAGATCAGTGGTTGTCAGGGGTTGAGGTGGAGGAGGGATGAATAGGCAGAATTCAGGGGATTTTTAGCGTAGTGAAAGTGCTCCGCCTAATACCATAATGATGGATACATGTCATTACTCATTTGTTCAAACTCACAGAATGTACAACACCAAGAGTGAACCATAATGCAAACTATGGACTTTGGATGAGTATGATGTCATCCAATGTAGGTTCATCACTTGTAACAAATATACTCTCTGTTGAGTGATGTTGATAATGGTGGAGGCCATGCATATATAGATTCATGGGTATATGAGAAATCTCTGTACCTTCTCCTCAATTTTGTTGAGAACCTAAAATTGCTCTAAAAAAGTCAAGTATTAATAAGAAAAATACTCCTAGTAACATCACAGTTTATGTTGACTGAATACATCTCCACTAAAATCAGAAGGAAGTCAAGGATGTTTGCTTTCATCACTTCTACTCAACATTGTACTTGAGGTTCTTGTCAGGGTTCCAGCTTTAAAGGAAGAAGTAAAACAACATTTGCAGATGAAAAGATCTTTTTTTATAGAAATCTCTAAGGAATTCATATGCAAACAAACACTATTAGAACAAATAAATAAGTGCAGCACACATGCAGGATGCACAATCAACATGCAAAAATCAATTGCATTTCTGTGCACCTCCAACAATGGTGAGTGTTAAGTAACTGCAACCTCCATTCACTGTTGATGGGAATGTAAAATGGTGCATCCACTCTGGAAAACAGTTGGACAATTCCTCAAAATGTTAAGTACAGAGTTACCATAGAGCCCAAAATTCCACTCATAGGTATCTATTCAAGAGAAATGAAAACATATACCACACAAAAACTTATACACAAATATTCATAGCAGCA